AGCTTTTATTATTTTACCTGGATTGCATTTGGCGCAGATGGTGCAAGATCTGCAGTAATTCCTGGTCAGAGAAGTAATACCGGGTGCTTCAAAATATTTGTCAATTAGAGAGTTCATTAGGTGCTTAGACAAATGTGCTGGTCCATGGGCCCATTGGACCACGGCTGGGTACATGTTCTTGGGTAGACAGAATTTGAGATTGATAGTGTACACTCCATTCTGAAGGTTGCCCCTCTTTCTTTCCAGCTTCGTCTCTCTTGTGGGGTGGCAGCTGCTTGTTGCTCCCTCAGGAACTTGAGATCCGTGGGTATAGTTTGCATAGTGTAAATAGGAGTTTCTTCAGCGGACACTCTTCTGTCCACTTCCCTTTATTTTCGTGCAGCACCCTTGACGGCCTGGTCAGCTAAATAGTTGCCACGTGCTTCTTCTGAATTCAATCTTCCGTGGGCCTTCATTTTTAGTATGGCCACTACTTCAGGAAGCAGTAATGCATCCATCAGTTATTTGATTGCTGTGCCATGCTTAACTGGTGTGCCAGTTGCTGCAAGGAAACCTCTTATTTTCCAGATTAATCCAAAATCATGTGCCACACCCAGGGCATATCTTAAATCAGTGTAAATATTAGTACGCTTTCCTTCAGACATTTTGCATGCTACTGTGAGGGCTGTTAATTCTGCTTCTTGAGCAGACATGCATGAAGGAAGTGAAGATGCTTGAAGTACTTGATCTTCTGTTGTGACAGCAAATCCAGTATGGTATCTTCCCTGTGCGTCCGCAAATCTGGAGTCATCCACAAACAGGGTGAAATCAGGATCTGGCAAAGCAACTTCATGCACTGTTACATAGTTACATAGTTACATAGCTGAAAAGAGACTTGCGTCCATCAAGTTCAGCCTACCTCGCATTTGTTTTTTGCTGTTGATCCAAAAGAAGGCAAAAAAAACCAGTTTGAAGCACAATTTTGCAACAAGCTAGGAAAAAAATTCCTTCTTGACCCCAGAATGGCAGTCAGATTTATCCTTGGATCAAGCAGTTATTACCCTACATTGAAAGATTATATCCTTGAATATTCTGTTCTTGCAAGTATGCATCTAGTAGCCGTTTGAACATCTGTATGGACTCTGATAAAACCACTTCCTCAGGCAGAGAATTCCACATCCTGATTGTTCTTACAGTAAAAAAACCTTTCCTTTGCCTTAGACGAAATCTTCTTTCTTCCAGTCTAAACTCATGGCCTCGTGTCCTATGTAAAGTCCGGTTTGTGAATAGATTTCCACACAATGGTTTGTATTGGCCCCGAATATATTTGTATAATGTTATCATATCCCCTCTCAGGCGACGTTTTTCTAAACTAAATAGGTTTAAATTTGTTAACCTTTCTTCATAGCCGATATGTTCCATTCCTTTTATTAATTTTGTAGCCCGCCTCTGCACTTTTTCTAGTGCCATAATATCCTTCTTTAGAACAGGTGCCCAAAATTGCACAGCATATTCAATATGGGGTCTTACCAGTGATTTATAAAGAGGCAAAATTATATTCTTGTCCCGAGAATGAATGCCCTTTTTCATGCATGACAATACCTTACTGGCCTTGGCCACTGCTGATTGACTGTTGGGAGATGTGTTGTCTCTATTTTCATCTGTTCAAAACAATCATGAGGGGCATCTGGATCTTGTTCTGTAGGAGGGGTATCTTATTTCTGTATGGCTTGGAAGGATAACCAACTGTCTTGCAGTTCACAGTTCTCTTGGTGACTCCTTCCATTGAGAGTTGTTCTTGACTTGCAGTGCTCCATGTCTTTGCTAAAGGGCCAAGTTCCTTCCGTGAGATATCTGGAGACTCAGTGAAGGAAACAAGAGGAACAGCCACCTCCCAGTGATGGTGCATGTGTGTTATTTCCATGGGTAAATGGACCAGGATCAAAATGTTTCCTTTAGAGTCACAAAACAGGTCTGTCGTGATGAGGCCTACCTCCACCAGTCTGAATAGCTCCTCTTCATAGTGTGGATCAGGTCCTGGGGCATTTCTGAACCACAAGGTACAATGTAGGTAGGGCAAAGGCTGCTCATCGTGTGGAACTGCGGGTTTTTTTTTACCTGTAGCTCAATGGAAACGTCAGGATCTATGTCAAGACTGTACCAATAGTGTGGCACTCCCCCACCCCCCCGGGAAGTGGCAGAAGAGTGGCCGGATTCAATGAGTAACATCTTTGCAGTGTGACGTTGTCAGGCAGGAGGAGAGTGGCCTGCAGACGGAGATGTCTTTGAGACATGAGATGTTTCCGCTGGACTTGATTAAGGATGGCAGTAATGTCATGAGGTGCAAGGAGTGTGAGCTTGCGTCCAAGAACAAAGTTATTAGTCTTGTCCAGTAGAGCACTTGCAGCAAAAACAGCTCATAGACAGGATTGTCCTCCTCTGGCCACTGGATCTAACTGGAAGGAAAAGCAACCAATGGGACGTTGGCGTGACCCATGAGATTGAGTGAGGACTCCAGATGTGTGACCCATCCTTTCAGAGACAAAGAGTTTGAAGGGCTTCTGGTAGTTAGGAAGACCCAATACAGGTGCTGAAGAGCACCTCTTTGAAGAGCGTAGAAACAGGTAAGAACCTCTGGAGATAGTGAGAAAGTCTTCAGGGCATCATAGAGAGGTTGCATGAGTTGAGAGGCCTGAGGAATCCAGGCCCTGCAGTAGGAGATGAGGCCTGAAGAGGTTGATGAGCTGATGGAGGGCAGATGGCAGTGATTCCCCGAACTCTATCCCTGGTGAGGTGACGGGTGCCATGGGAAAGACAATGTCCCAAGAAGACCACAGAGGGCTGGCACCATTGTAACTTCTCTTTGGAGAACCTTGTTCTGCCAGAAAACAGAGCAAATCTTCTGAGGTTTTTTCAGCTGTTGGGATGTCACCTGCACAGAGGAGTAGATCATCCACGTATTGGAGGAGAACCACATCTGGGTGGGAATCCTGCCATGGTTTTAAAACAGTTGACATAGCCTTTGCAAATTGACTTGGTGAGTTCTGTTCACCTTGTGGCATGACTGTCCAGGTATACTGTTGGCAGTCATGGGTAATGCAAATAGATATTGACATGAGGGGTCCACAGCACACTGAAGAAAGCATTTGCCAGGTCTATCACAGTGAAGAATTTTGCTGTAGGATGTACCTGTGAGAGTAGTGTATGAGGATTTGGTAGGATGGGGGTATCCAGAACAGGGACATCATTGACAGAGCGGAGGTCTTGAACCATACGGTGTTGGTCTGGTTCCCCCTTTTCAGTTTTCTTCTTCACTGGAAACAGAAGAGTGTTACATTTTGATTCACATTTGACAAGAGCACCTTTTGCCAACAAGCTTTCTACCTGTTTAGAGATGGCAAGGGCCTGCGCAGGCTTCAAGAGGTATTGTGGCTTTCGTGGTGGATTTGCTCCTTCATATAGTTTCACAACCACTGGAGGAACTTGTAGACGTCCAATATCATCTGGCTGGGACCCTAGTCAGGGCACTTGGGGCATCTAGGACCCTTACTTTCTCACGGGAAGTTTCCATGTGTAATAGCAAAGGCAAAGAACAGAGAGCTGAAGTGTCCTTACGAGAGAGAGGAGTTAATAACTGAACCTGACCATCAGAAGTGAAAAAGATAGAAGCTTGCAGGCGGGAGAGAACATCAGCACCTAACAGGCTAATAGGACACAACAAAACATGTGAGAATATCTGAGCCCACCCATAAGAGCTTGGTTAGTGGGTTGTCTAGAGGAGTACCATCTACACCAACACATGAAACATCAATATCAGACAAGAAAGAAGAGTTAGGCGGGTCTTGTTCTCTGAGAACACTACGGGCTGTGCCTATGTCAATTAAAAAGGTGGTTGGGTGACCTTCGATGGGTAGGACAACTGTGGCTAGGTGCCCCCCTTTACCCCCTGTAGACACTGCCATGACAGGGGTGTTAGACACAGGTTTGCCAGTTACATATTGTGACGAGACCAATCTCGCCACATTGCATTGGAGAAGCCTGGTTGCTCGCCTGCTGCCTCTAGACTATGGCCCCCTGTTAAAAGACTTTGTTTCGCCTGCAGAAAAGCTGTATTCGTGCTTTTCTGCCGGTTGTTCGGTAGATTCAATCTACCGAACAACCGCACGAATGAATAGACCACCTGGGAGCTGGAGTGTGCCAGCAATTAACCTCCCTGAAGCTGCGGTTAACCGCAGCTTAATTGACGAATGCTGGGTGGCCGCCATTCGTATCCCGAACACGAGGTCGCTGCCATTTTAAACATACGAATGCACAGCGGTGTTCGTCTCTATTTTCATGGAACTAAAATCGGACACAGTTTTGCGCGAACACCGCTGAAGCCGCCGACCTCCCTTCTTGTTCGGTGGAAGTGCACGAACGGCCCGGTGTTCGGTAGTTTTGTTTGAGTGTGTTATACCCCAGATAGGAATCCCATGGAGCCCATTCGTATGAAACTGACTGTAAAGCTCTATGGCGATTAGTGTGGTCTGAGCGCCATTCGCTTAATAATGTGCACTCAGACCTGAGCTATCTGGGGACATGTTAAATGTATAGTTTTAATGTTATGTGTCTCACACAGTGTATTTTAACAGTAATGCTTGTTTTAGTATCCCCACGTGCATAATGGCGATTTGCCTTTTTCTTGGGAGATAATTGAATTACTTCTCAATTATCTCCCAGGGCAGAGGGGAGGAAGCCAGGATTCATTGTGGGAATATACTGTGACTGTGTGTCCTATTTGTCTGCTTGTCTGTCTTTTGTCACAGTCTCCCATTTGGTCCCCTAGGGGAGTGTCCACCAGATGGGAGACCTGCATAAATACTGGGCAGGTAGCCCTCATTAAACAGACCACTGCTTGACCCTCAACACGGAGCCTTGTCTCGTCTTTGGGGGGATTTACTGAATGCTGATAGAGACTGATTGCTAGGAGTGTAAGCCGCTTGGATGCTTTTCCTATTCGTCTGGTAGCGGCAATTCGTATGGTTCCTGTTCGTGTATTTGGAGTGCTATATGGGATGCCGTTCGGGAGTTTTGAGCATTCACTTATTGGCGGTTCGTGTGTTTGGTGTTCTGCAGTAGCTGTGCCTGCATCTCTGGAAAGGGGGCCGATCGCCTAAACGTTTTTTACCCCTTTTGTGGTGAAACGGTCCGTTACAATTCGTGGCAGCGGCGGGATCGTTACCACAGACTACAGGACAGCTACAGGCGACACCATTCCGTGGATTTTTACAATTTGAGGGCAACGCATGTCCCAGTACAGCGACCCTAAAAGCAACAGAATGGAACCAGCAGTGGAGTATAATGAGGGTGCCCTGGATGACCGAGATGCGCTGCGCAAAGGCATCTGGTACCAGGCACTGGGTATTGTGGAGTACCAGTGGGGCGAGAGACTCCCCAAGGAAGACCAGCGACTGCAGAAGCGAGTAGCCCTGCGGATGCCCTTTCTGGGAGAGCAGCCCCTGGATGAATGGGTGAAGGAATTGGAGCTCCGAGTATAGCAGGAGATTTGGCTGGAAGATGCCTACCAGGCGCTCTGGTGGTATGGGGCACAGTACCTGCCCTGGACAGCCGAGCATGACAAGCCAGAGGGAGAGGCGTTTGATGGTCCTGGCTTGTTATGGGAGTCTTTTGCAGAGCCTGAGTTTGGGAGCCCTACACAAGCCCGGTTCAGTGATCTCTTGGAGTGGAGGGAGAGCAGGTATGACTGGGACGACACTCACGTAATTGAGCAAGACCTGGTCCACCTGGTGGCCCGAGAGATGGAGCTGGCGGGAGAGAACATCAGCACCTAACAGGCTAATAGGACAGGTAGAAGACACAACAAAACATGTGAGAATATCTGAGCCCACCCATAAGAGCTTGGTTAGTGGGTTGTCTAGAGGAGTACCATCTACACCAACACATGAAACATCAATATCAGACAAGAAAGAAGAGTTAGTGAGAAGGCTCAGCAGGAAAGCGGAGACCCAGATCCAGATCCATTCAGCTGGGAAGACATTATTGAGATTTACTGGGAAAAACCCCAGGTGGCGGGTGGAGATGGGACCGAGGTCTCTCCACCGATATTGCAGGGAATTGGGAGCCTGAGCTCCATTCCCCAGCGAGAGATATTGCAGGGAATTGGGAGCCTGAGCTCCATTCCCCAGCAGCAGGCTGAGTTACAGGGGACAGAGATAGTTGCTTCTGTCCCCCAGCAGCAGAGTGAATTGCAGGGAATTGGGAGCCCAAGCTCCATTCCCCAGCGGCAGGCTGAGTTACAGTGGGCAGAGACAAGTGGTCCTGTCCCCCAGCGGCAGTGTTCCTTGCAGGGAGAGGAGAGCAGCGTCCTCCCTCCCCAGTGGCAGGGTGAGCTACAGGGATGCTGGGCAGTCGGCTCAGATCCCCAGCGGCAGTATGATGTTTTGGGAATTGGGAGCCCAGTCTCCATTCCCCAGCGGCAGTATGATGTTTGGGAATTGGGAGCCCAGTCTCCATTCCCCAGCGGCAGCACAGATTATTGGGAATTGGGAGCCCCATCTCCATTCCCCAGCGGGAGATAAAACAGGGCAGTCTCCATTCCCCAGCGGCAGAGTGTCCTACCGGGAATAGAGAGCCCAGTCTCCTTTCCCCAGCAGCAGGACTCTGTATTGGGAGCAGAGACAGTCGGTCTCCCTCCCCCGTGGCTGGAAGTATATATGGGAGAGGAGCTTGTTACCCCCTCTCCCCAGCAGCAGCTTAATGTACCAGGGGGAGACAGTAAGCCCCACAACTGTGCAGATGGGACCGTGGTCTCTGCACGTCCAGCACAGGGGCTAGGGATGGTCGGTTCTGCCCCCCAGCAACAGGGCTGTTTAGCCAAAGGGTAGACAGTCGGTCTCCAGCAGCAGGACTGTATATCCAAAGGGGAGACAGTCGGTCTCCAGCAGCAGGGCTGTGTATCTAAAGGGGAGACAGTCGGTCTTCAGCAGCAGGGCGGTGTGTCTAAAGGGGAGACAGTCGGTCTCCCCCTCCAACAACCAGGCTTCAACCAGGCTATCCTCCCAGTAGCGCTGGCAACAGGGCAGAGTGCCGCTTGTCTCTGCCCACGCAGCAACCCACCAAGTCAGCGTACCCATACCCAGCACAGCCGTGGTGAGGCACCTGGACATGGACAAGCTTCTTCTCTACCCAGGTGTAGTAACCATTTATTGTGCGTGGGCTGTGCTGTTGATTGTGTTTTGTGGGTGGGCTGCTGGACTAACAAGGGCACTGACCGGCAGGAGGTCAGATACCCTGTTAGTCTGTTTGGAAAAGGGGAGAGATGTGAAGAGACCAATCTCGCCACACCTATTGTTTAACATCTAAATGGGCCTGGTCAGGGCCTGTGTAGTGGCGGTTGGGTGCTACAGAGTGGTTAGGCTGCTGAGCACGTTGTGTAGGTCGGTGATGACTGAGTGCAGGGTGGTTAGCAGGCTGATAACCATCTGGACCATAATTATCAGGAGCATAACCATGAGGTGCAGGATGATTGGCAGCAGGTGGTGGCGGATAAGCAGCCTGGGGATAATCTTGGGCCACTGCAGGAGGGTAAGAAACCATAGGAAGACCTGTCATTGGGGGTATAGGATAGCCTGCCACAGGATGAGGTGGTCTTACGGCCTGCCACTGCTGCCTGTAGATCCTAGGATGTGGACAATCTTTCCTGAAGTGGCCAGGTTGATTATAACTAAAACAGGCTCTGGTTGAGGCCTAGAAGTCTGGGACATGGGTTGCCCCTGTGGTGGTGACACAGGGTATCCAGCAGGAGCTGGAGCAGGCCCGATTGCAGGATTATAGAAGGAAAACATCAGGGGGTTAGTTTTCCTTGGCTGGGGCAGCTGGGCAGATTCCAAGCCTTTAGCAACTAGGAGGAGAGTATCCAAAGGAATAATCCTGTATTCTGGATGGGACAAGACTAGGCCTTTCTTTATGGATTCTTTAAGACCTGCAACAAAGGCAGCTGACAGTATCGGACTGTGTGCCTTATTATATATACTGAAACCCAAATCAGAGAAAGTCTGTGTTAACCTGGAATTATATTTCTCCACTGATTCTGTTTTGTCTTGCACAATATCATTAATACAAGTAGCTTGATCAGCTAATTTATCCTGTGCCCATGCATGCAGTTGCTCACAAAATATTATGCCTGACTGGAAATCTGTGTCAGTGGTGAGACGGAAATCATCAAAGCTCCTTTCCATTATGGGCCAATATGCATCCCCTGCTTTAATTTCACATAGACTAAACAAATCACGCCATGCAGCAGAATATGTTTTGCGGATCTGGGCAATCCTTCAAAAGAAGGGCATGGGCTGTTTCTCTGGGTCTGGGAGAGAAGTTACCAGAGTTGCAGCTTGGGATGGATTAAAGGTAACATACATCTACAGCAGGTAAGGCACTGTGATGATCGGCAGTGGGCCGTGGTGAGACACTGCCATTATCAGGGGACTGTCTGTGAATGCTAACTATACCAGATATAGCCGGGGCTTGTGCTGCAATGCCAGTATCATTAGCTATCTGAAATGAAACTAGTTGTGATGTAGTGGGGTGATGGCCTGAGGCTGCAGGGGAAGCAGTATGATGATGGCCTGGTGCTATGGAATCATAATAGGATAACTGGGGGCTGCCATGATAGAGGCGGGTACGGAAGCAAGTGTGGGGAAGGGAGAGGAGACGCTAATAAGGATGCTGGGAGGGGAAGTGACAACCATGACAGGGGCCGGAACAGAAGGAGGAATGTGGGCGGGAGGGGCAGGAACAAGAGATGACACAACAGAGGAGGGAGGGTGGATGGATAGGTCTGGGGCGGGAACGGAAGGCATGACAGGAAGGAAAGGTGGGACAGAGGTGGGAACGGAAGGAATGATGGAGGGAGGAGGTGGGACAAGGGAAGGACTGGAAGGAGAAGGTGGGACGGGGGCGGGAACTTAAGGAATGACAAAAGCAGAAGGTGGGACAGGGGCGGGAACGGAAGGAATGATGGAAGGAGAAGGTGGGACAGGGGCGGGAATGGAAGAGAAGGTGGGAAAGGGGCGGGAATGGAAGGAATGACGGTTGGAGAAGGTGGAGTCCCTACTGGGAATGGAGGACATGACAGGGGCAGAGTAATAATAAGATCCGAGAGTAGAATAAACTTTTTGTCCTTCAAATTCTAGTTCTTCCTCTGACCAGCCTTCACGTTTAATTCCTTTTGCAACACGATACCAAGCTTCTGCTGCCTTAGTCAATCCATTATCAAGCAACAATCCCTCTTTATCTATCAACAATTATCTCCAGCTCTCTGGTTGTAACGGCCGCTGGGAGACATAGAAATCCCACAGATCTTAGCGATCTTCCTCACCTTAAGCACAGCCTCCTCACCTGCCCTTTCTCTCACAATATCATAGGCCACCTGGCCCTTAGATGGCCTAGCATGCTCCTGTCCCATTCTCAATACACAAGCCGTCACTTGAGAGAGATAGAGAGATGGAAACAGGAAAAAGAACGTCTACAGTGCTCGACTGCCACAAGAAATAAATCCACGTGCGTCTTCCCAAAACGTAGACTAGTCACGGGATCCGCCCACCCGGAATGGCAGTCACGGATTGGAGCGAGGCGAGTAGTGTGTGACTAACACTGCTCTGGATTAAAGGTACAGAAGAGGAAGAGAGAGAAAGTGAAAAGGCTAATAAGAAAACACTTACAAGAATCACAAATAAATATATGTGGACATAGTCTTGAATCAAGGATAAACCACACAACACACACAGATGCAATCAAGTCACACACAATGCAACCCCAACTAAGCAACCACCACAATACAATAAAGTATAACAACGTATCAAACATAACAATAATACACCAGCAATCCCTGTTCCTCTCTGAACAGTAAATCAAACCCCAGACTCTCTTAGGCGGTAGCGGTCCCTGTTCCTCTGGACAGTAAAGCAATTCTGGGGTCCCTGCCAGCTAGGCAGTCAAGCTAATAATATATAACAATACTATGCAATGGATCAAATCAAGTGTTGGATAATTTTGTATATCTGCCCCTGTACAAATTGTTAAATTAAATGCGTGCACGCTCCCAAAAGTAATTCACACCAGACACAAGTTTCAGGTTAATGAAAAACTTGAGGAAAGTTTAATCCAGGAGGCTGGTATGCCCCTTATAAAGCAATAATACATCATATGCATAATTATAGATAGAGAAAATACATC